AGGTTGGCTCAGGATAGAATAGAGTTCAGAGCTGTTGCACATAGGGTAACTATGAGTCGCAAGCGACTCGATGGCACACAACAACAACAAAGTCAGAAGCACTTGTGAAACCCGGCCCGGTCCTGCAGCAGCCCCATGACCTCCTCCCTCCTCAAGTCCATGGTACAGTTATCTGGTTAAACTGCTTCCTCTCTCCCGCTGACCTTCCACCTTGCCCAGGATGATGTCTTTTCCCAAGGGCTGGCCACACCTGACAACAAGCCCAAAGTGCGTGAGAGAAGCTCCACCATCCTCACCTGTAAGGAGCACCCTGGCGGCACTTCCTCCAAGGCTGACTTGTTTATTCTCTTGGCAGCCTGTGGGGTATTTAATACACTTTACCAACACCACAGTTCAAACCTATCAACTCTGCTTTGACCTTCCTTATTCACTGTCCAGCTCTCAGATGCAAAAGGAGCAACTGGAAATGCCATGGCTGGGATCAGGTGCACCTGAGTCTTTAAACTGACATCCCTGCTCTTTAGCACTTCAAGAGATGAAGGGAGCCCTCCTGGCCTGGTAGGCAAGAAGTTGCCCTGCCAACCCAAAGGCAGGAGTTTCAAATCCAACTACTTCTCCGTGGGAGGAAGATGAGCAATATCCTCCCATGTGACTCACAGCTTCTGAAAACTCACTGCTGTTACTTTCTGTTGAGTCGACTGTGGTTCACAGTGACCCTCTGAAGAGCTGGGCCCTTGTCCCGTTCTGTGCCGTTCTCGCCTCTCCGACACACGGAACCCATGTTGCGGACATTGTGTCAGCCCATCTCGTTGAGGGTCTTCCTCTCTGACGCTGACCCTTGCCCAGCACGATATGAGCCAGTTTTGACTCCACCACAATTCTTGTTTTATATAATGTATTTTGAAGGGGCTAGGTTTGACTTAAAGTTGATTAAGAGATCATTTACTTTGCTGTAAATTTCTTGTAGTCAGTTCGGATGAAGGCATTTCTTGCACACATCTTGAGTGTTTAAAATCAAGAAGTCACTGAGTTTTCTATGACTCACAGTACATACCCCACATCCTTCCAGCTCCAGCAAGCTGTGCTGCTAACCATAGGCTGTGCGTGGTGGGAGCTGGAATCCGCAGCTTCCACTGGAGAGATGGGCAGTGGGTTCCCTTTACCACTTAGAGCCTCGGAACGCTGATGGGGGAGGGTCAGTTGAGTCAGAACTGACTTAAGGCAGCGAGCTGATTGGACAAAGGTCGCAGGCTTGTTCACAGGGTCGCTGGGTGTCTCAGTGGACTCAAGGGCCCTGGCCACACCTACAGATACAGAACAGATTTCTCAGGATGCTTGGAAAAATGTTTATGTTGAGGATTAGGACTTCTAGAGTTCTTCCAAGCTTTTCTGTAATGAAGTGTATAGTCTTTGGTTTTAGTCCTAGGTCCTTGATCCACTTGGAGTTGGCTTTTGTGTATGGTGTGAGGTATGGATCTTGCTTGAGTCTTCTGTAGATAGTTTTCCACTTTTGCCAACACCATTTGTTAAAAAGGCTGTCATTTCCCCACTTAACTGATTTCATCTCCTTGTCAAAAATCAGTTGACCATAGGTAGATGGGCTGATTTCCAGGTTCTCAATTCTATTCCATTGATCTATGTGTCTGTCACTGTACCAGTACTACACTGGTCTTGACCACCACAGCAGTGTAGTAAGATTTGAAATCAGGGAGTGACATGCCTCCTACCTTGTTTCTCTTTTTAAGGACTGCTTTCCTAATTCTGGGCCTCTTTCCATTCCAAATGAATTTGGAGATTGCCTTTTCCATCTCGTTGAAGAATGGAATTGGTATTTGTATTGGGATTGCATTGAATGTGCAAATTGCTTTTGGTAGAATTGTCATTTTCACAATATTGAGGTTTTTCCTATTCATGAGCAAGGGATATTCTTCCATTTCTCCAGGTATCTTTTTGTTTCTTGTAGTAATATTTTGTAGAAGAATTGGATCTTCTAAGAATCAAATCCCTATGCACATCCAAAACCTTCTACAACAGGGCAAAAAGGGAAACCACAGACTGGGAAAAAGTATTTGGTAATGACATGTCAGATAAGGGACTTATATCTAGAATTTCTAGAATACTTGAGCACCACAACAAGATAAATGTGAACAACCCAATTGAAAAATGGGCACAGAATATGAACAGACACTTCACCAAGGAAAACATTGAGATGGCGAACACACATGAAGAAATGTTCAAAATCCCTAGCTCTGAAAGAGATGAAAATCAAAACAACTGTGAGATATCATCTCACCCCAGTAAAAATAGCAAAATTCAATAGAGCATCAAACAACAAATGCTGGCAAGGTTATGGAACCCCTTATTCACTGTTGGTGGGAGTTTAAAATGGTACAACCACTATGGAAGGCCGTATGGCGCTTTCTCAAAAAGTTGGAAATAGAAATATCATTTGGCCCAGCAATTCCGCTACTGGTAATATAACCTAAAGAAACCAAAACTGCCATCCAAGCAGATACATGCACACTCATGTTTATTGCTGCTTTGTTCACAATAGAAAAGAGCTGGTAACAACCCAAGTGCCTATCAACAAATGAATGGATAGAGAAGCTGTGGTATGTTCACACAATGGAATATTATTTAACACTGAAAAACAAAGAATTCATGAAATAGTATACAAAATGGGTGACCATGGAGGATATTATGCTGAGTAAAATATCTCCGTCACACAAAGACAAATACTGCATAATGCCACTGTTCTAGAACAGGACTGAGATGGGGGTTGGGGTGAAACTAAGAAAAGAGGGGATAAATGATGTACACGGCATTGAAACAGATGAGAGAATTGTATAGAAGGAATATATGTGATTAGGTATTTTTGCCATGACAAGAGTCCAGAATAAGAGCTTCATAGTAGAGTGGTTGGGGCAGGGGGGCTGTAAAACAATGAAAGAACTTTTTCCCCAAAAGAAAAATGAACTGGGAGGGGGGAGGCAGGGAGGAAAATGTGCAACAATGAATGAATGAATGAATGGAAATCCAAGTTCTCTATAAACTTTCATTAAAAATCTCAATTAAAAAAAGAACAAGACATCACTCTGGGAAAGGTGGAGGGTCAGTAGAAGAGAAGAAGACCCTCTGGACTGACACAGTGACCTCAGCAAAGAGTTTGAGCAGAATCAAGATCAGGAAGATGGCACAGGATAAAGCAAGGCTCAGATGTGTTGGTCATACGGTCACTATGAGTTGTAGTCTCCTCGGAGGCACCTACCAACAACAGTGCCCAGGCCAACTGCAGCAGAAACTGGAAATCATCAGACCAATTCATTGTACATTTTCTGAGAACAATGATTGAATCCGACACATTCTTTACTGCCTAATGCAGTGCAGAGCCCTTCTTTGATTCGGAAAGATATAGGTTGCCAGTATTAAGAAATAATATAGCACAGAGCCCCCAAGGTTTTGCCTGATGATTGGCATTTGTTAGAAGAAAACAAAAGGCACCTGCAGTGAATGGGAAGCCATCTTCCAGCGACTGTGGGACTGGTCAGAAGCCGGTGCCTTGCAGCTGCGGCCAGCCAGCCAGCCAGCGTCCGGTGAGGGCCCTGCAGGCTCATCACAGTCCAGCCAGGATGGTGGGTCAGCGGAGAAATTCATGAGCCCAGTGGGAAATGAAATTCCAGGTCATAAAATGGGGCTGATTTCTTCCAAGGGACCAGTACCCTTTCAAAATAGTGCTGATCTCTTAATACTTGACTGCTGTTCACGTTAGCCGCCCGTCCCCTACTGAGGCCAACAGCACTGGGCCTGGGCAGGGTCAGGTGGGGGGCAGGACGTGTGGGTGCTCACTGCAGCATGGCCTCTGCAGGCCTCTGGGCCCTCAGCTTCTCACCAGAGGAGGGAGAGGCAGTGTCCACCACCCCTCCCAGGGCCCTGTCCTTCTGTAACTGTGAATGCCAGCAGGGAGAGGCAAGGACGGAGCAGAGCCCAAATGTCAAGGCCATCCCCACGCCCCTTTGCACCGGGGAAATGAGGGGCACTATCCTCGAGTCATATCCAAGTCACAGCGACCCTCCATGGGGGTTGAGGCTGGACGTCCCTGCGGGCAGAGACCGTCTATCTTTCTCTATTGTAGCTGCTGGCAGATTCAAACCACTAACCTCCTGTGCTGGAAAAGAGGCAGCTGGAGACCTCACTAGACGCACGGAGACTCATCTTACCTACTCTGGGCATGTTATCAGGAAGGACCAGCCCCGGAGAAGGTCACTGTGCTTGGAAAAGTGGAGGGTCAGTGAAAGAGAAGAGGACCCCCGTGAGACAGTGGGCGTGGGCTGCACAGTGGACATGAGGACAGTCCCATCATATGACACCTCATGACAACACCCATGGAGGGGGGAGGACAGCGATGTCCACCAGGCAGGCAGAGCCTCGGTGCCACTCCTCAATGTCCCTCCCTCCCCGAGACGAGTCCCAGGGCAGACTCGGTGAAGGACACACACCAGTATCACCAGCTGGGAAGGGATCTGCCTTTTATTAGGGACTCACGGTCGACTCCGCCCCATGGAAACAGCCATCGGGCCACTCATGATGGGCCTTGAGCAGGATTAGGGACGGCACATGCCCCTCTGTGCGGGCTGGACCAGGCAGGGCTGGCACAGGCCTAGTCATGTGGGCCGGATGGGGTCAGGATCAGGGATAGCGCAGGACCTACGGTGCAGGGTGGACAGGGCAGGGATGGCGCAGGCCTGGCCATGTGGGCCGAATGGGGGCAGGATCAGGATGGCGCAGGACCTACAAGGTGGACAGGGCAGGGCTGGCGTGGGACCCACGGTGCAGGATGGACAGGGCAGGGATGACGCAGGCCACGCCGTGTGGGCTGGATGGGAGCAGGGATAAGAGATGGCACAGGCCCCACAGTGCCGGGTGGACAGGACAGGATCATGGATGACACAGGCCCAGCCATTCGGCCCTAAAAGCCCTAAGCCCCATCCCAGGCCGGGCTCTCAGGCGGGCTCCACGTGGCCGAAGCCGGGGCTCTTGCTGCCTGGGATCTCGTTCTTGCGGTAGAAGTCGGCCTGCATGTGGCCGGCACGCCGGTGCTCACGGTTCAGAGGCTCCACCGGCAGGTGGATGCGCTTCCCATACGCGGAGGAGGTGAGCACGCCCACCAGCCGCGCGCGCTCCTGTGGACACGTGGGGGGGGGGGCAGAAACATGGGCCTCCTCAGCCACTCAGCCCCCACCTGAGCGCACCTGGCCTCCTAGCTCCTGTGGACACCAGCAAGTCACACCTCACTCTACCGACCACACGCCAGCGGACCGGCCTGAGGGCACCTCCCCTCCTCGGACCCGCCTCTTCCACAGGCCCCGCCCTGCTCTGCGCACCTCACCTAGGCAGGCCCTCCTACAGCCCTGCAGGCCCTCCCCTTCGGAAGGCCCTCCCCTCCCACGGCCCCGTCCCTCCCACAGCCCCTTCCCGCCCACAGCCAC